CAGAAAAGAAACCAGTTCATGTTTCAGAGTTTGGCTGTTTTGGTGAGACAAATGACACCCTGGAACTGCAAATACAAGCAAGTGTTCATTAAAGCAGTGAAAGGTAAGCCCAAATGCAAGGAAAAAATATATCTGCAAGAACTATGATGCTATTTTACTGCCRAGACATAATAATAATAAACATTTTAAAAGGTTAAACCCTAGTTTATAAATAATAAGATCAAGTTTCAAACACACATTGCCAAACAGCTGTTTGATGCTTTTTTTCMTTCACAGTAAGGTTCCTCCATGTGTTCAAGAGCATGAAGCAAAGGCTCTCCTTACCTGCACACACTGAGGTTTTAACTGGAGGCACTGGAAAGGCAGGTGAGCTTTCACAGCTAATTTACAGGGGTCTCAGTGACCAAGGTGGACCAGGGACATCCATCTGGGTCCTGCTACTGTAGATTAATACCACAGTTTCAAAAGAGCACCTTGTGACAAGCTTAAAGAATCCAAACTTAGGGATAAAGACAACAAAATACAGGCTCTCACCCACAGCAATATTTTCTGGTCATGCAAAGACAGATACCTACCCCAGCAGGTTGACTGCCATCACATGGCAGGCACTTTCTGCAGTTATTTTCAGCCAAATTGTCCAATACTAGTTTTGCAGTCTTGCCCTGGATTGAAGCTGACTTTGCTGGGTCACAGGGAGATGYCAAATATAGAGGTGGAATTCAAGACTTTTAGCTTCAGGACTAGAAAGCAGCTTCAGTACTTAATGAGAAAAATTAATCACATAGAGCAAAGGAGTTAGGGGGTTAATGTTAGTGCTGTGTCTAGTGCTGGGAGGCTGCTGCTTGGCCAGGTACACGGATTTAATTCTGATGGCTAGACTGATGCTGTCCCTCCCAGCAGCTTCCAGAATCCCATTTGCACAGATCATGCCCAGCTCTGTGATGCATATTAAATACACTGCTGTAGCAAATGTGGTGGCTTCCTGCAAACATCACCTCCTCAGAGAGTTGTTGAGGGGAAGAGGCAAGAGAATCAGCGGAATTTCGTGGCTCTGGCTTAGGTACTCTGGTGGGGCATAGCAAATTCTCAGAGGCTGCCTTAAGTTAAAGGGTTTAAGCCTGACATTAAAAGAAGTTATACAGTTCAAGTACGTTGTTGCAAGGCTTTCAGTGAGTAAGCAGAAGCTTCTTGTAAAAATACTGCTCAATTCAGCCTAAGCTAAACAGAGCACATAAACTACAGGGAAACCCTGTAATATTTTATTGGTATTTTTTGGGAGCCAAACACTGACAAAATAAAAGGAGACAATTTTCAGGTGAGGACAGACTTCAGAAAGTTTGGAAGTTTAGYCTGTGTTTGTCGTGAATGTTTGATATTTGATAGTCTTATGTTACAGCCCAGATGTTGCACACTTACGGTATGCCCCTAAACCATACAAAGCCTGTATATTATTTTTATTTTCAGTGTAAGTACCTGTGAGAGAACTTTCAGGATTTACCCATGACCATGTGTGAAACAATTTAACACAAAAGCCAGTAAGCCAGAGTTGAGCCTAATTTCAGAGGCACAGCCTATAGAATTTTTCTGCTGAAATTCTATCTACACAAGGACAGCTGACAAACACCTTCCTTACAGAGTCTGTGCACCCTTCAGATAAAGGGCTGTCTCTCATAGATTAATCAAGTCATTGGAAGAAGCTCTTCCAGCTTGCCTGGGAAACACWTGCTGTGTTAACCAGGGGATACCTYAACAAACAACACTCTTCACCTTGGACTTGTGAAACACAAACACTTTAAACATTTTGGAAGAAGCCAAAATGGAAAAAAAACCATCCCTAAACTAATTTATCAGCTTTTCTAGCTTAGACTGATACTCTCCCATGCATTCATGCATACATATGTACATACACACATGTGCACACATACATTCACCAAAGGTTAAGCAATATACTGATTTTTAGAGATTGTGACAATTCAGGTTCACTACTTAACACASATCAGGCAGAGATCTGACTTAGATGMAAATGGCACTAAACCATTCTTCTTYGTACATGGCAGTTCAGCCCAGCAGTGAGAATCAGCCCCACAGATAAACTATCAAGGGATCAATTCAGATGGTTTCCAGCTCAGCCACAGCAGGCATTACCATACTCCTGTTTTCAGAGAGCTCAGCCAATAGCTGACGTCTCTTCAGACCCCTCTGAGGCAAACCAGCTTTGTAGCTGGTGATCTTGAGATACAAATAGCCCCAAAAGAGACAAGGCTGAGTGATGACAATGACAACGAAGAACAGACCTTTTCATTGTATTKTTTCACAAATACTTATTTCTTTGAAAATGTTAATTTCTTGAGGACATGCAGACCATTACAACAAATAATTATAGAAAAATAAAAATACCAGGCAAGCTGTTACACCTTTATTAGGAGTAGAGAAAGGAAATACCTAATTACCTGGGATATAGCACAYGAGCAGGAATTCGAAACTTCACAGTACTGCTGGCATCTGTCATTTTCAACACCGTTATCTCAAATGTTGTTCAAAACAAAAATACAGTGTTGCTGTTTATTTGCTAAAGGCCCCAGCTCCTACTGATAAGCAGCAATTAATCTTCCAGTGTACTTTTCAAACTATTAAGTACAGATTAAATTTTGTAACAGTTTATCTTGCTGTCCCACTTGCTACCTGTCTGTGATCCCCAACCCTCTCTGTGCCAACTAAGGCAGCTGCCACTTGGGAAAACCTAGTTTTTATTCAGTTTACTACAATGTTTTGATTTGCAATGCAGGAAAGCCAGCAGCATGTAGCTGCTCAGTTCTTGATCATCCAGCAGTAGCTCTGCATCAGTTCTGGATTTCTCTGTCAAAAACCGTTTTTCATCCTAGGGCACGCTTGTATGTGTAAAGGAAAAAAAAGATGTAAAGAGTGAGGGAGAGCTAAGGGGAAAACCAGAATCGCCTCCMTCTTACACTCCTGGAGGAGAGTGAGACAGGTATACTAAAGTAATGTTTTTCTGTACTTTCTTATGCAAGTTTTGRAAAGAGGAAGTTACAGGAGAGAGAGAAGGGAAGATGCCCGTGGCTCTAAATTTAACAAGGAAACTCTGGAGGGACTGCACCAARAGATCCCTGGATAAAACACAGATGTCATCCATGCAATCACATTGCACTTATTATGGAGGCTGATGTAGATTCCAGAGGGTTTCTGGAAGGAGGACGTGTTAGATCAGTAACACTGGGTGAGACCAGCTAGGACAGCAACACAATGAATGGGGTGGTTTTCTCTTGAGGGGATGTGTGTGGGGTATGTGTTTGTGGGTGTTTATAAATTGWATTGCAGAGTCTTTCATATCATAGAGCATCTGATGAGCTTTTGACTCTCAATAAAACAAAGCCAACCCTCTAAAACGAGTTAAAAACTGTGGCACARAAGTTGTAAGTCCACTCAGAGGAAATGGGTACGGATCAGAAGAAAGGAAAAGTGTCTGCATAGGAAGAAGGGGAAAGCCAGAAACTCTSTCTCACAATCATTTCTCTACAACTGGGTTACAGCAAGGAACTTGAAAAGCCAAGACTCAGAAAAGAGAGTGACTCAAAAGCAGGGAARCACAGACAGTGCTAAAGATGTTAACAAAATACGTTCCAAAGAGCAATGAAATGTGAAATGTTACTCTTTTACTTTCCTGGCAGACAGTCTATGCTAGGGAACAACTGCATGGAATGAGCAGAGAGGCAACTTTCTGCAGTTGTGTGCAGGCTGCTTGTCTGGCTGCGAAGCACCTCTTCCCCAAGCACRAGAGTCTGGCTTCTCCAGAAGTCAGTGCCACGGGCAGATGGAGACCTATGGGATCAAAGCAACTAAGTTYCTCCTGGAAATACTGCACAGACACAACCCACATAGAGTGTCTAGCACATACCATGCCCTTATTTGTCCTGTAAATTACAACMATCAATGTATACAATGTGCGTTTATCTGAAATGATGGAGAATCACTCACCTACGTCTCCCAAAGGAATGGTCCCACCATGGATACCCCATACTCACCTTCCAGTGTCTCAGAGCGTTTCAAAGTGCAATTTGATGGCAAACTCAATTGCTTCCTTCAGTTCAAATCTGTCTTGTCACAGACACAGTAGCATCATCCCATTTGTTCCTTGGTGAAATCATGAAATGCAGATATTTATGCCTTAAGATTTTCTGAAAAACTGACATTTTACCAGTCATAAATTAGAAAGACAGCTATGCCTTTGCAAACTCAGAAAAACTACACCCAGCAAAACTGGATGTATTCTGTAATAACTTATTGCAATCCCACACATGCAGATCAAGATTGTCTATTGAAATGCCAGGCATAAGTTATTCATTAACTAAAACCATTCTGTAATTTTATTGATATATTTTGTGGAGTTCACATATTTTTGTACAGCAAACATAACACTGTAGGCCACAAGAAGCTGCAGCACTATTGTTTAATAGCAGCAAGGTATATTTTATAATCAGGGTATGTGGACAATAAATAGTCTGTTTCTTTGGATGTGAATGTTTAAAATGAAGTTCTGCTGCAGCTTCATAATGTGATTGCTATTTTACAGAGCTTATACACAAAAATATATATGCAATCTTTTTGTCTATATTTTATACAAATACAACAGTAGTTTGTGAATACATTTTAAAGTACATATACATGATAAGCAACTCAATTTCCCATATCACAGGATAGCAAATTTTAAATGCAAGAAACATATACAAATTCAGTCTGGAATGCAGGGTTTTCTGTGTTCTTTTTTTTTTCTCTATTTTTTTGACTCAAAACTTTTATCATTAAAAACATTTTAGCATACAAGTCCAAACAAATTTTCCACTAGCTAAAAATATAATTTCAGCAATCTGAGTCAGGTTTGGGTATATGATCATTCCCCAATATACTCTTCCCAGTTTTTGTCTAAGGCTTTYAGTAATATATAGCATGTTCTTCACTCCACACCATATAAAAAGCCCACATTTAACATTAACTAGCAGTCACCTACTTTTGTGAACAAGAGCTGGGCTTGTCAGCGTTTAAATTTGCATGTCCAAAATTTTACTTTTGCAAGTGCATATGAATACATTGTGGTGTTGCACAAAGTTCATTAATGACAAATTAAGTCACAGTATAAAAATATATCATACAACTATAGGTCTAGTATAGTCCTTTTTTTCTATGGGTAAAAATACATCTGAATGAGACAGGGAGGTTTGTAGCACCATGAGAGGAGTTGTATCCCAAGTTACATTAGCAGCATGATCCAATATAACAATATTGCAGGAGTGTTTCTGAGGAGATAAACATTCACTCTGGTTCAACTGTACCACTGAAGCTTATACTGAAAAGTGTTTACATATGATTAGCAATAGTTCTGTGTCACTTCCAGGGCTAGATAACTGTTATCAAAAGACACTGCCTTCCAACAAAAGTAAGACACCCTTATTGCATAAAAGCTTTGGGACTACCCAAACACGTTTTGAACTACTGTGGCATTATTTGTAAGTYGAGCATGATGCTAAGTAAGCTATGGTTTAAACTGTACACTGGGGGGAAGCAGGACGGGCAGCTGAGCCTATAATGGATTACAACATACCAGATAAGTACATATAGTTTAGAGGCTTATCTATGGGCTGAGAAAATACAGGAGAAGCTGCTAAACCAGTGTATGAGACAGACATAACAAAGGATGCAGGATCCCCTCAACATTTATGGATGCAGGATCAGGCCCTAAGTTAACTTCAGACAGCAGCATAGCAATGATAGGATATGATAAAAAAAAATCTGTATCAAATACTGCATGTTAAATATTTTTTGACAAAGTTTACCATCAAGAACTCCAGAGGACACAGTTTGCAAACAGTGAGGACAGACTCCTAATTGTTTTTGACTGGTATTCCAAATGGCAGTAGAAGACAGTGTAGTTTGAAACATGTAAACCTAGTAAAAACCATTGTAAAACCCTTAAGAAAGACACGCTGGTTCTGTGCAATATAGCAAATTGATAAGAAAACACTGTAAAAATGTACCTGTTTAAAATTACATTGTCTACCATTTTGTACACAAAGCATTATACCAAAGGCCTACATATATGTAATCTAATGGCACTTGAAACAAATTATAATAAAAGGTTTTATAATAAAAAGCATAACCTGTAAGAAATTTTCTTAAAAGGTTTAGGTTTTCTTTTTGAAAGTGCTATATCTTGTAATATGTGTAACATAGAGGTTGACCAAGCTTTATTTTAAAAAATATTGGCCTATAATACAAGTTTAGCTCACTAGGCAAATGATCCTGAAAATATGTACTCTTAACATTCATTATTAGCTTAATAAAGCAATCAGCTCTGGCTCATGTTTCAGTCAGTATATGGTTTTTAAAAACCGCTACTGCCAAATTAACAATAAATCACTCTATTCCACAATTTACTACTAAATAAAGCACAAGCAACAAGTACACAAAAATATATATATTTAAAAAAAAACCCAACAACAAAACAACCTTACTAGAAGTTTAGAAGTTGCACAAAGAGTGGTGCATGATCAGCCAGCCCTCCCCCCTCCCGCCAAGAATCCATGGGAAATCAAGAAAACGGGGTTTAAAAACTGATGGTTTAGTAGTGGCCAATGTTGACTCTGCCTAAGTGATGCTAAAAAGCACTCTGSTGGTGCTGGTATTGCTTAAAGGGTCAGTCTGCTTTCATGTTACCCTACATCCTAGTTCAGCTGCAAACACGMTGGGTGCAGCCACTCACTGAAATCCTGACTGAATGAGGTTCAATATCTTGTCTGAGGTCTCTATTTCTCAAGTGAAATGTAYATCTAACTCCAAGTGAAATGTCAATCCCTTTTCAGGAAGCTAAGGCACGAACAAGGTAAGTAAGGGTTCTGGCTACGCACTAAGAAACGGGTGTTGGCAAAGTGTCTGTGGGTTTTGTTTTTGATGAAGTCTTTCAGCAGCTGAGATTGATAAACAGTGGCTATGGACTGGGAATTTGTGTGCCAGAGGCTGCCCAGGGAGGGCTGTGCTGCCCGGCCACGCTGCTGYGCCAGCTGCCGGATGCCAAGCACTCGCAGCGTTCCTCTGCTGCAGGGAGAGTTGCAGATGCTTGGCTCCACACAGGACATAACCCACTGGAGGAATTAAGTCCATTTATCTTCATCTCAGATTCCTTAGAAGGATTGAGAATAAACCCAAATTTTCTTAGATGCATTATGGTTGTTCATTTAAACTAGAGTTACATTCGGTTGCATTCAGCTTGTGCTCTGTTCATCTGTGTTTTTCTTTCCTTTAGGAAGGTGAAGGGAAAAAAAGCAATATTGAACAAATCATTCAACTAAAGATGTAAGTAAGTGAGCAATCTGTTTCACAGAAACCAGAGGAAGCAGTCATGAAGCAGAGCTAAACGCCCACTTTGAGATAACGTGCTCCTAAACCCAAAATCTAGGAGTAGTTTGCAGAATTTCAAAAGGTAATTTCCTTATTAATACATCCTTATTTTAATGCCTTTGGAACACAAACATATTTATAAAAATGTTATCTTATCTTTCAGTAATAAAATTTAAATACACATATGTATAAAATAGTAAAACTACACCTGCATATTGCTCCTAGAATTATCAAAAACCAGTAGGAGCTACTGATAAAACATCCGGAGCATGAGCTCCTTAAATGGGAGCAACTTTTGTTTCTGTGAAGTATATTTAATTTAACCACTTAAAACCTTGTAYGAATCCTCATTATTGTTTGAGAGATACTAATGTACTTGATTTCTATTTTTTAATTCCTTGTACAAAAATGACAAGGAAAATAATGTTATGGTTGAATTACAGCAAATCTAGTTTGCTTTTATGCATCACAGGGTTGGTTGTTTTTTTCGGGTTTTTTTTCCTCTTTTGGTTATTAGGGGTTGGGGAATAGAATACATTGCATTAGGTAAAAGTGGTGTAAGCAATATGCTTTTACTTCACTCCTAAGAGTCCTGTCTTTAAATCTTGGCAATGGGCAAAAAGTCCCTAACCAAGTACCCAGGTGTAGAAAGTGTGATTAACATCTAACTTGTTGCTTAGGAGGACATAACACACCATGTAACACAACTGAAAAGATMATTCCAATAAAAACAAAACGAAAGAAAAGAAAACAAACTGGTAGTTGCAAATTTACATTCACTTTCTGACTGCACACTAGTTTCGAACTGAAAATAGATACACACTTTCTGGCTGGACTTGATCCACCCTTTGGCGGTGGCAACRGGGAGAAGACTGATGCCTACAAACATGAATACACTACTGGAAGGTTCCTATGCAGTACTCTTTCTATGCTACTAAAGAGAAAAAAAACAGCAAGTTAAGAATTAAAACAAAAACTGCGACAAAACATTCTGCATTACTACATTACAACACTTTTCTATTTCAAGATCAGCCATTAATTTTGCCTGTTTCCCTATACCAGAGTCTCGAAAGCACAACAACACAGTTCCAAATTCAACTTGAAACRTTTGTCATTTAGGCAAGCAGAGATTCTCTGATGAAATTTTGTTCAGCCATAATTTTAGAGAATTAAACTGAATTTTTTTTCTTCTGTTATTCGTAACAGGCCAYCAAAATTTAAGCCAGAAAATGGCAAAACAAAATTCATAACAACTTTTATAATGACTTCAATACAAGTCAAAATGCTATATATTTGTACATGTGTATATATGGACGTCTATATATACACACACAAGCTTTCAGAAAAATCTGAATTCTGTATTTCTTTAAAAAATTTAGATTTGTCATTATAGAACAGGTCGGACGTGTCACCATTTGGGAAGAGGATTTGTTTGGAAATGGACTGGAGAATCTTTTTCCAAWATCTTTAGGAATTTTTGTGATACATATTTTAAATGGATTATTTGCAAATAGTAAAATATATTAAAAGGTAAAAGTGGCAATTCTAGCACTGACATCAATAAAACAGAATAGGTGGTATGGTTGAAAAAGTTTTAAAAATGGGATGAGTGTTGAGAGTCTGCTTGGGATGACTTTCTACTGAACATTCTGAATGTGTAAATTGGCAGTGAAAATGAAAACAATACAATGAGACTGTTTAAAAAAAACAAACCAAAGTAAACACAGCTGAGAATAAACACTTTCAAAACATTTAAAAAAAGTTAATTTAAATTTCTTACTGGCTTCATGAGATTGGTACTGTACAAAAGCAGAGAATTTATAATGTCTTATAGTAGGCACTAAGTTAAAAATGGTCACCTAAGGCATTTCTACAAATAGACAGTAACAAGCCAGCTTTGTACATCCTATTGGAAAGCTTGATGAAATCGTGGTAGGGTGGTGGTTGTGCTTAGACTGCTTGTGAAAGCTGCTGACAAYGAGTGCAGAGACCCAAGACCTATACTATTGCTAGGATCTTGTGGATCCTGGGTTTGTGGGGGAAGTTGAGTCATAGAAGAATGTGCCTCCTCTTGCGTGTAACTCATTCCGAGGTTTCCCACTGAAACAGAAGGGTTATAGGGAGGGCCATTTACAGGTATGAAGTTGAACAGCTGAGAAAAGTCCAATGATGGGGCGTTTAGAGGTTCGCTAATAGGAACGGAGCCCTTGGAAAGGGAAACTTCCCCAGACCCATCATCTAGTGGCCCTACTTGAGGATCCAGCCCTAGTTTTGAYGAAGATGCTTGAGAATCCTGGGATGAAGAAGGCATACCACTTTGCAACTCCATTAAGTAACTTTCAATTTCCCCTTTCAATGGCTGTTCTTTTTCAGGCATAGAAATTGCGTATGAGGTAGTACCGAGCGGATATTTCAACGATAGCTGGTGAGAAGGGTGGACAGACTCCATATCTATTGGACAAGGCATTCCCAATGGTAACGATGTGGCAACCATTTGGTGTGCAGACGCAGAACTCTGCATGGACTGAATCTGAGTGTTGTAGAGATTTAATTGCAAAGTGTTTGTAAATGGCTTTGATGTCAGTTCACTGGAAGGTAAAGACATCACTGGAAGCAGCTCATCCTTAATAGGCACAGAAACATTGCAGGTAAAGGGATCTAGAAGGTCCATTGGCTCTGTTTTGACCTTCAAAAGTTCTTGGTTGTGACTTTTCTTCATGTGGCGCGTGAGGTGATCCTTCCGCCCAAATCTCTGTGCACAGTACTGACAGAGGAAGTCCTTTCTTCCAGTGTGCACTACCATGTGTCTGCGGACATCCTTTCGGGTGTAGAACCGACGATCACAGTGTTCACACTGGTGCTTTTTCTCCTTCACTCCACCCGACGACTTGCCTGCATGAGTTTTTAGGTGCTCCAGCAGCACTCCTGTGCTTTCAAAAGTCTGCAAACATACCTTACAGGTGAGGTCACCACTTGTTGCAGCATGCAAAGCCAGGTGACGTTTGAACCCRAGCTTGGTATTGTAGTTCTTTCCACATTCTTCACACTTAAAGGCCTCTTTGTTGGGATTGTGTGTATGTAGGTGATTCTTTAGGTGATCTTTTCGGTGAAACATTTTCTCACAATAATTACACTTGTGGGTTTTCTCAGGAGAATGAGTAGCCATATGCCTTTAAACACAGATATATTCTGTAAGTAATTATTTTGATCAAAAAACACACGTGCTCATTTTTTAATGGCAGCTAAATACTACACTAAGGGCTGCTTTGCAACAGAACCTTTTAACTGAAAGCATGACACTACAAAGACAGTTTGACAAATTTAAATATAGCAAAACGCGAGCCATTTCTCTTAAATTGACACTTTAGTTTTGGTGGGTTTTAGCTACTGTAACAGGGGTATATGGGCAAGTATGAAAGTACTCGTGTAAAAGTCCATAGCCAAAGAACTTTCAGTCCATACTCTTTTTCTTGTGACAATTCCTTATACAAATGAAAATTCTACGCTCATTAAAAACAAAACAAAACGAAACAAAAACAAACAAACAGAAAACAAAAAGCAGAAAACAAATTAAGAAACAAAATCAAAGACATTAGCTTGCAAACTTAGGTAATTTAGAATTCTAGAAACAATCCAATGGCTACTTTAATTAACACATCCTCTCTGCAATCAGCTGAAGGCGTACAGAAATATATACTTTTACACGGCTTAACACGGCCAACATAAAATAGATAATATAATCTGAAAGATAAATAGAGTTTAATACCTTAGTAATTTGTACTTAGAAACAAAGGCCTTGGTGCAGTCTTGTTGTGTGCACTTGTAGGGCCTCTCTCCTGTGTGAGAGTATGAGTGAACCTTTAATTTCTCAACACTGTTAAAGGCCTTGTCACACAGTTGGCAAGGAAAGTTTTTTCTTGGTTTGGTTTCACCACGCTTACGTTTCCCTGAAGGGACTTTCTGGGTATCTCTTACTTCTGACAAATCACCAGGAATGACAGTGGCCATCGCAGCCTAAACCAGGCCTTCTTGTTGGACACTTGGGAATTGCCCAACTCCACTAAATGATTTAGCTTTAGATGGCTTCTCAAGTTTCATGTGGTCGTAAAAGAAAGCAAAAGGGGACTGGAAAAAAAAAATAAGAAACAACTAGTTTGTAACTAAACTTAGATTTTGAAGTTTACTTGCTATGTGATGCTTCTGAATAAAACTTAAAAATAAAGTTAGGTTCAGCTGGTCTAATGTAACACCTACAGGTTTCTTTATACTATTTGCTGCAACTCTTAAAACGCATTGCTCAGGATGAACAGATCCACATATGCCCTGAAATCACACCTCACAACCTTCCCCGCAAGCACTGATGGAGAACAGCAACGTTTCTGTCAGATTAAGGGAGGCATCAGGCAAAGAGCCTACCTAGCCAGGCACCTTTTGGCAGCTTCGGATTTCAAAGGGACGGCAGCCGCGCCCGCGGTGTTTGCGCACACATCCCCACGCACACATGCACGCATGCACACACACGCAACTACCACTGTGAAAGTCTGTAAGCCTCAAAAGGTCTGAAAACCTGCACAAAAGGTGGCAGTACCCATGCTGACAGTACAGTAGGTCAAGCTCGTGTTCCCTCTTGGATGTAGCTCCTCCAAGATGTGACTACTGCACATCTATGTATCTACTCTAGCCAAATGCATGCACTGCCAATGATGCCTAACAGCAGGTGAAATTCTCCCATAAACTCACCCTCTGCTAACAGAGCCTTGATCTATGAATGACAGAAGCCCCACGGATTAGGGATAGATGAGATAGAGCAGGGTTTTATCAGCCCAGCGCTGGAGACCCGCAGCCCCCTCATGCTGTCCTATGAGACATGAGGGCTGTAAGCATTCAGACTCGGGCTAGCTCAGGATGGAGGCCCCTGTGGCATAGCAAAATGTGAACTAAACCAGAGGCTTTTACTGTCAGGAGGTGCGTGATGTGATCCTTGTGTCTGACTTGTGGCTGAGCAGCTTTAAATTTGTCATCTGGTATCATATAGTGGCAACTGGGCACCTGCCCTCACAGGGCACTCAAGAGCCTTCCTTTGTCAGGGAGTGCTGACAGCTTTGCTTCATCCYCGGAGCACAACTGCTACTATAGATACCAAAATCCTGTGCTACCCGTTTGGAAAAGGTGGAGCGTGAGGTCTGCAGCAGCMGGGACAAGGAGGACAGCAAGACAGAGCTAAATGCAAGCATTTGGGAGGGCTGGAAAGCCCCAAAATTTAGCCTTTCTCCCTCCAAAGTGTCACCAGCCACCCCCAGCCCCTGGCAGCTGCTGTCCCCTGCGCTCTGTGCCGGGGCCACACGGTGGCCGGGCAGCAGGGCCGGGGAGGGACAGCTGCTGGGACAGGTGGGGCTGGGCAGCTGGAGCCGGGCAGGCACCACCAGGCTGCAGCTGCTCCAGCACAAAGCCACCTCCCTGGAAAACAAACCCGGCTCTTCCCTGCTGGCAGCGATGGARCCCGGGTAGCTGGGAGGGAGCCGGGGCCTGGCCTTAGCTGTCCTCTCATCCCTGCTGAGGCTCAGCAGAGATGGAGGGAGCCAACTGCTTCAGAGAGGAGCGGAGAGGAGCGCCCAGGTGTGCTGGGKGGAGAACTACACAGCCCTTGCAAGTGCCCCAGCGTGGTCCTGGGAGAAAGCGAGAAAGAAGGAGAGCCAGTGTTTTCCTCAGTGCCTGGTGGGACAGCAGGAGCAGCGTGAGGAGGAAGGGGATGTGCCTCTTTAATGTCTGCATTTTAAGAAATTCTCAGACTGAGATCTCCATCTCAAATGTGYACACAGAGCATGTCTTTGTCTAAGCCTTTTATTCCCTCCTCCCCATAACTTTTCCCTTGTTAGAGGAGGACAGAAACACTGGCACACCAAGATGGAAATCTTCKTTCTTTCTACCCTGGAGTCCTTGAATGACAGGTTAAACTACGCGACCTTCTTTAAACAAGCAGTTTTGTAAGACCACCTTTATTCCCTCAGATTTTATAAGGAAAAACTTCTTTTAAAGATACCCAGTGAAAGAAAAGGCATTTCTTTAAGGACTCTTTTGATTTCAGATTTGTCTTGGATTCATTCCCACTTGTGGGATGAAGCCTGGACACATCAGTTCCATGAGCGAGAAAATGCACAGGTCTTCAAAGTATCAGCTTAATTTTATTTTCTGTCTCATAATCAACAATATAGTTGACWAATTCTAGTTCATAAGGAACAGTTGTTTGGAGACCTGGGAGCAGTAAGTTTCTTCAATAAAAGTAAATCAAGGCTAGTTCCAAAGGCTTCAATGAAGCCGCCAGSACAATCAAAAGGAGGGTCACATCAAAAAGGATGTATCACAGCAAAGYTGTGATATATCTGTGGATTGAAAGGGTTGGCTTTTCTTCAATRTAAGTTTTAATCAGAATCTGGTAATTAAATTAATTTTGCTCTTCTATTAATGAACACAACTGGTCTTCAATATTGGCCTGAATGTAGAATGAAAATTTTGTTTTAGTCTAATCTCTCCTGACAAATTAAGTTCAAAGGGGGAGAAAAAAAAAATCCAACCTGATCTACAGACTACATGTACACCACACAGGCACCTGCGTGAGACCCAGCACACAGAGCAGAGAGCACAGCTGTCACAGCCCTCACTGCATGGCCAGGGGACTTGGAGCCCCAAAGGGGAAGGAGCCCAGCCCCTCTGGTCCCCCAGCCAAATCCACAGCTAACCTGAGCCAGACAGGCAGGATCAGCAGCAAGAGCGAGGGAACAGCMTCCACAATCTGCTGCACTGGAGTGGGGCTGCTTTGACCATGCTGGGTCCAGAGCTCAGCAGCAAGTGGACTCTGTGCCCACACAGTGACAAGGAAAGCAGGGACAGCAGGCAAGACACAGGGAAGAAGGATGAGCTGCCACAGGGAGGGAGAGTGGACAGAACCAGGATGGGGGTGTGGGGCCAGGGAGACTCAGGAAGTGCTGTGTAGGGGGTGGGAGTATCTTAGGACATGAGGATAGGGGTGAGCTGGTAACACTGSAGGGGGTGGGAAGGAACTGAACGTGCACCAAGCTGGGAGATGCAGGATATTAGGCCATGCAGAAGGGTGCTTTGCAGTCTGAAGCAGCATTTTTTGTGAAGAAGCATATTAAGCCTAACTGTTAAATTAATATCTGACAACTTCTCACTCTTTTTCTCAAAGCAAAGATCACATCTCAGGCTGAAGGCCATCCTATATTCAGGCCAATATGACATTACTGTTATCTACCCCAAAACCTCAGGTAACCTAGCTGCTGTACCAGTCAGCACATTCGCAGGGACAAAGAATTCCAGTTTTGTTCCTCTATGACCAAAAGTAATTAAGCTGACTTTGAACTGTGTTAAAGTGTCCTTAAAAATGCATCATTGGAACAAATATAGTGGATCCAATCTTTGACAGTGTTTTATTAAAAAGCATGTATGCACTATTATCTCAGTACCATATCTCAATAGGTGAGGCGATTAAGAATGTCAGTATTGATCTCTGAATAGCAAATAACCACTTTTTTTTTTTTTTCCTTTTTTGGGTGTGGATATATAGACTGAGCAATGGAGATAAAACTTAAAAAAAAAACCACTGATCCTCCAATATTAAATTTTTCAAAGACCAGCTGAAWGAATTTTATGAGTAATATTGCCTGTTTGTGTCTCAACATATTATCACTTAAAATCCACATTCTTACTGGTGCTTTCACAACTGCAGGATGAATGATTATATGCAGTATCAAATATAACAAACACATTAACACATTAAAAGCTCATATATAATACTATTTTTAAAGAAGCATATACTTAAAGCAAGGTTAAAGCAGCCTCTGTTCAATGCACACCTGATGTTTGCCCACTAAAGTCCTCAGATTTTGGTCTTAACCAGTTCCGCTGACTCTTCTTGGAGGAAACCAGAATCCAGTACTTCCCATTTTTACTGGTCTGAAAAACAAAAGGAACAAGGGACTAGACTCCAGCAAAACCAGTACATTCATAAAGGCTGTGATGTGGCAAGACCAGGGATCGGAAAGAATCGGAAAGGAAAAGTTAAAAGGGACAGATCCAACCCATGCACAGAACATTATATACTGTTAATTATAAACTGTAGGAATCATTCTTGCATTATCAGTAGCAATTATGCACTTCAATTTGCAGTATACTTACATAATTTCAACTAATGCTATGCAGGACAGTGACACATATAGAGATAAAATTAGACAAAAGCAAAGGAGTTTTCATAAAGTTAAAAAAAATAAAAATCCACAGACCACAAATAATTTAGAAGTAACAGCAAAACATGTAAAATGCTGGGCCCAGACTTGAGTTTCTTACTCAGAAAGGACTGAATAAGAGAAGATTCTGGATTAGGCCCAACTTTAATAGAACCTAATGCCTTCATTCTGCTTAATTATACAGGAAATAGCAGCTTAAAAGGTGACCTGCAAAGGAAAATAAAATTAATTTTAAAAAAACAATAAAACCTCTTAATGATGTACACGCTACAGGTAAATCCCAAAAGAGGGCAAGTCTAGGTATGTCTGAGCAAACTGAGAGAGCCCTTTTGGAATTTCCCTTATATCTCCCTTTCCCCTGCCATCATCCTTTTGTAAATTTGGAGCAGGTCTTCCTTTTCTTGCTAGAAGGCCTCCTGGATGACACAGGTATACACAGAAAACATGTTCATTGTAATGGGGAGCTTTATCCCATCCAACCCTTCCAGGTATGTAAGGGCAAAGCCCTACACAGTGCACATACCCCACAGCAGGCTGAAGCTGCTTGGCAGGAGCCCTGTAGTAATGCAACATTTCCCTCCACACAAACCATTTTCCCTTTTGGCTTCCCATGCATTCCAGGAAGCAATCTTCCTTGTGATACCGAGTTCAGCTCCACAGAGCCTCAGCATCCTCTGTTGGTGAGCATGAATGGGAGCAAACAGGTATCCCTGAACACCTATCAATGCCAAAAATGCTTCAGAGCAACTGACTGAGGCTCKCTGATGGCTGAGGAACGTTTATGTGGGGCTTTGTAMACACAGGCRGGAGGCAGAAACMGCTCCAATATCMAAAGAAAAAGAGAAAGTTCTGTTTTCAACTAATGAGCACAACCCTCACCACCATTTTTTTCCCCAAATCACCTTATTCAAGGAAGAAAATGCTGATAACCCCTTACCTCCTCTCCCAGCAAGACACTCATAAATCAGTTACCCTGCAATGCCCATCACAACATCTTCCACTATCACAGCAGAAAGGAAGAGCTTCATTCCCAGATGTTTCTACTAAGGCAGTTCACAGTAACCAGACAATATTTAAGGCAGACACACAGATATAATGGACTAAGTCCTCATGGACTTAGTCCCTTCACTATTCATATTTACAGACTATCTCCTGTTTGGAAAAAACACTCCCAACAAATCCTATCCAAAATACCATAAAGTCCTCTCAGCASTATTTAATATTTTCTCTTAAATGTTTGTAGTCCTCAATGCTTACCACATATCTAAAGTCTAGCAAAAAGCAGATGCCCTCAGAGACAGGCCACTAGAGACATGGAAAGACTAYTGAATCAGAGGGAAATGAAGCAACTGGAACAAGTAAATAAGCAAGATAAACATGAGATGTAGCTAAAATGCTGAGAATGAAGGAGGACAGTCAGGTACTCTTATTCATTACCTTACGAATACAGCAAATTCACAGTGCAGTGGATCCAGGGGAGGGCAATGCTATATCTACAATTAGTGAGATCTCAATTTCTACAGGGCCATYATTACATGAAGAGCTTAACAACATACACACAAAAGGAGCAACATTTGTATAAATAATGAAAAAATTAAATACATTTGAYGGGAGATAAAATAATTCCTATGTTTTGCAACAATAAACAGGCTATTGGATAAAAGTCTTTTCCTTATGGGCAGAATACAAAAGCTGTCCATGATAATGCTGATTTCTAGACCATCCTKGTCAGAAACTTTTGGTGTTAAAAAYCTCTGAGGCAGAATAYTGGACAAAGAKGTACCATTCTCTTGTAACTGCTTATACTCATAACGTTATTAAGTTTTTCACCTAGATGAGGTAGGAAKAATTTTTAATGAATAACAAAGTTCCAATTATTCTCTATATGAAGCAGAGAAGCATCATACTGCAAAATGCATTGTCACATGCACGTGCCCAAAGCCCACTTGGCTACCTCTAACAAAATATGACTTCTCTAATTTGTCAGAATTCTTAGAATTCTTACAATTTACCAGATCTTCCAGAATTTGTGAGGCACTAATTTTGCTAACTGTCCAAACACCCTGAGAATTCCAGGTTAGATAATATTCAAATTTCAACCATAAAAAAAATTGGGGAAAAAAAGTGCCCCAAAATGCTTGTATGTAAGATAAATAATTTAAAATAGAAATATAAAATAATCTATTCCTTTTTAAAGAAGAGTAACACTTTTTTTCCAAAATTCACTGTTCCTATTTAAAAATCTGAGAAAATAGCAGCACTTGAAAATATTCTAAAACACTTGATATCTGAACTGAGAGGATAATGAAGACAATACAGAAATATAACCAACAATCTTYCCCCTAACTTGCATTTCATACTTAAAAGGGTTCAAGCACAGAAAAGGAAAACAAGTTTCATGAYTATTTTCTTTCAAAATAAAAGAGCAATAATGAGAACACAGTACTGAGAACACAGTATTTGTCATTTTGCCTTTTATATAAAACAGCAAATCTAGCTTAATTCCTGAAATCAGTTTTAAACCAAAGGAAGGGTCCTAGAAATATTAGAATCATAGTAAGGTAGAACTCAATAAGGAGTTAATAGTATCAGAGTCATTATGGGTTTKAAGTATTTCTTTAAGGAAACAAAATGAAAAGTGGTTACTTACCCTATGGAAACTGWGCTTCTTTAAGAAGTGCTGTCCGCACAGATCCCAGGTGAGCACGTACCCACACGCACAGCACCAAGTCCTCTGAAGACAGCTATGTCCATCCAGGCTGTGCCTGTGAACCCTCCCAACCTTGCACAAGGCAAAGGACTCCCCTGCAGTGCCACACTCACCACTGCCCCAGCTAACACAGCCAGCAGCAGCTCCCACCTCACACCATGGCACAAATCCAACCACACACTCCACCGCCATCAACGCACTGCTCYGGGGAGTGACAACCTCCCTCTGCCCTGCTGCTCCCAAACCTGTGCTCACATCTCAGGGGTGTAGGTGCTGAGCTGAATTGAGCTGGCAAGGTTTGCTGKGGCTGATAAAAGGGAGCAGGGGCACGGGAGAGAAATACGTGGGCAAGAGTCAATGTCCTGGTTGGAAATGTGGTTTGAGGTTTGGGAAGCTGAAACACAGACTGGCATCCTAGCTGAGGAGGAAAGAGGATGAACAAGTGCAGCTCAARGAAGCAAGGAGCTGCTGCTGCTCAGGGTAATGGAGCAAACTAATCTCATGATGCTCCAGACCAACCTCTCTCAGGTTTGCCAACAGTGAAGACCTATTCAGAGCGAAGGACAACAGATGCTTTTAGCTGCCTCTATTGCAAATGCACCTGGAAGAGCCACYATTACMATAGAGYAAGTAATGATTTTTCCTCTTTTCTRTACCAGGTAACTAATAGTCTAAAAAAGTATTGATTACAAGTCCCCTGACTAAAAAGTACTSACAAATGAAAGCTGCTCTGTTGGAGCAATCAGGGATAGCTGGAAGCTGAGCTGGTGAAAGCATCAGCAAGAGAAAGCTGATGTAGTCACTCGCTGTGGCTCAGAAGAGCCAAAGTGACAGACAGYACCTCCACTTGTAGAGGCAGTCACTGGAACAGGCTGCCCAGAGAAGCTGTGGATGTCCCATCCCTGGGAGTGTTTAGGGACAGGCTGGATGGGGCTCTGAGCAGCCTGGTCTAGTGAAAGGTGTCCCTGCCCGTGGCATGAAGGTTGGTACCTGATGATCTTTAAAAGTCCCTTCCAACCCAAACCGTTCCATGACCCCAAATACAAACCTCACCAGCCCTGTCAGTTGGGACTGTTAAATTGGCACAATGTTGCCAGAGGTCCTGAAGATGAAGGAATCTAACCCCACGTTAATGCAACCAAAGAAGGASCACCATGTAGCCTTCTCTGGCTTTCCCTGTGCTGTGGACTTGCACACAAGCCTCTCCCTAGGCAGTTCCATTTGTGGGGCAGCAGATTTAATATTCCGGCTGACATAGCTGTCAGAAGGGGCTAAGGGCACAAGTGGCAAAGTGCCTGAACTGCTCCAGGACAGCATGCTGGGACCTGCAGCCCTGCAAGGCTCAGACACCCTTCCTGGATCAACAAAGATCAACATGCCTACTGCACACTTGTACAAAGAGAGTAGGAGGTCTGACCAGCTTTGTAAAAAACCACTAGACTTTTTGCAGCAGAAACTTCACCTCAGAGTAGCTGCAGGCAGCAGAAGATCCAGCTGCCCACCTGTGACGTTCAGAGGTCCCTCTTAYAGAGAATTAACTTTCTGTAAAGGAGCATCTCAGATGAAGAAGCTGATCCCACCAATGCAAAYAGTCATGCAGGTAAGAAAAACACATGCAAAGATGTTGAAGCATTGATGAATGTAGGGGTGCCTTCCTCCAAGTTTAATTAAAATCAAGTCTTCTAAGGTATGCAGGGCTCTTGCTTGTGCTTGGCAGGCCATTTGATCTGCATTTATTTGAACAGCATGTCACTCTATAAGAGACAGCTTGGGGAGCCTGCTCACCTTTGCCCATATTCAGAAAGAGAATCCTGTCTTTGGTAGGAAGATGCTRATCCTCCCCCATTTGTTCTTGGTTGAATGGGGCTGGAGGGGAGAAGAAGAAACAAAGGTCTCTCTGTGGTTCTCCTACATCTGGAAACTCAAGCTGAGGCATGGATGCTGCAGGACAGAAAGGAGGAAGAATGGGCATTGCTGGGGTGAGACAACCAGAAAGTGGG